TAAAGCCAGGACAAAACGACAGGACGAGCATGGAAAGATCCATGAACTGCTTGGCAATAACGGGTATCCCGACAGTCTATCGCAAAGAATATTGCTCAGAAACCGGAAAAAAACACCACGCCGAATGTCAGGCGTTAGACACGCCTATAGCACGACACAGGCGGCGAGACAGAACAACTCCGAGCCAGCAGGAACAGACAACCCACCACTCTGTTGATGGAAACAAGGAAGTTTCCGAAACGTCATTACCAATACAGTGTGGTTCATGCAATCGTCCCTTTTTCTTCGTCGTCTTCTTTTGGGTATGATGAACAGGATAATTTATCAGGACCTCGAATCTTCACTTATGTTAATATATGTATATATATATATATATATATAAATAAGTGACAGATGGGAGCTCAACGATCAGGTTGCGGAACATTCTCGTTTCGTTGTGCCTTGGGACTCATACTAGCACCCTCACAGGCAGTTGCACAGCGACTGGTGGTGGTAGTAGTAGTAGTAGTAGTATTAGTAGTAGTAGTAGTAGTAGTAGTAGTAGTAGTAGTAGTAGTAGTAAATGAGATAGGAGACCGGAATGGACATTTCCGGTTTTTCGACTGTCATCAGCAAATAATATCCAAATCCAATCGCGGATCTTTTGAGATTTGAACCCAGGATCTTCGGTCATGGAGTTTGACACTCTGCCATTGAGGCACGGACCCGTTGTACTGTCGGTCGGACCAAAGGAATGAGTGTCATACTGACTGGTCACAAGTAGCTCCCCTACCTCCGGCGGCGAGAAGGCGCAAGAAGCTATGAAGAAGCTAAAATTGGACAAAGATGTTATGGTGCTGCCGTCTGACAAAGGAAAAGCAACCGTTGTGACAAACCGTCTCCATTAAAAGGTTTAGGCACAAGACCTTCTCGACGAACACTGTCCTACAAACCTACGCTTTTCTAAATCGATGATCGGTCAGTTAATCGCACTCTAAAATCAACTTAAGCACAAAAATGTGATATCGCCCGTCGGACGGCGTCAAGCAAAACCCACTGAGACAACATTGACCAGCTCCAGAATCCAAAATCCTAAAGTTTCCCTTCGGTCTGTGGCTGCCCTCAAGGGCACCTAGCCAAAGGGATAGTCGGAAGGCTAAGCTTTCTTTGGGAACTGCAAGGAAATCTATCAATGCATTCACTTAATTCTTCACCACATCCGGGGAAGAACTGTCCTCCTTAACTAAATTATAATACCATTTGACGTGATTGTGGCGGTCTGTGCTTCCTTGCTCCCCGCCACTTTGTCACGCTGCCCTTCTGTCCGCCTCACGCTCCCTGTCGAGTCGCCGCTGGGACTGCGCAAAGCTTGTCACTAGCCTGCAGAGCCTTGTCTAGCAACATCCCCAAAAGTAAGGGTTGTCCAACCCAATCAGTCTTCCCAGACGGCCTTGAACCTTTATCTTCTCCACTGCAGGCAGGACATAGGTGACCTCATAGGAACGTTTCACTTGCTAAGACGACTTAACCTGGATTTTAACAATGAAACGTTTTTTTGAAATGGCACCCAAGTCTAGTCTCAGGCGACACGAGTACCAGCTTAAAAAGGAACTACGCCAGGTAAACCAACATTCATCCTTTTTTTCTCACAGAGGGTCTCTGGCCAATGGAACTCTTTGCCGTCATGTGTCGTTACTTTCCCTGCCATGAGTGTGTACATGAGACAAGTGGGTAGTCACCAGCTGAAAGGCAGCCCGAACTGCCGAAGCCTGATCTAGAGGATTCCTGAAATGACTAAAAATATACTACTAACAAGATTTCAACAGATCCTTTTTGTGCGTTAAACTTGACCCGTAGGGAAATTTTCACCATCCGAATGCGGTGAACAGAGTTTTTCGCAATTATTTCACAAATGCCATACCCTTTTCGCACTTTTGTTCCATTATTAGATTTATGCATTCTGTCCGCTAAAACTGCAGGCAAAAGTTTTGCAAGTTAACTATTTTCCCTTACATGTGTACCGCCTAGATGGAGTTTTCTGGGCTTCTGCCGTGTACTCCAAATATACTGACTGATATGGGGATAAAGGGCAGTGTTATTCTGACAGATGAATGGAGAGCTTACTAAGGCCTGCCGTCTGCGGTATATGAACATTACGCTATAAACCACAGTAGGAATTTTGTGAACGCAACTACAGGTCGAAATACCAACGCAATTGAATCGTATTGGAGCCGCCTGAAAAGAAGATTACGTGAAGGAGGCCCTTTATCAGGCCCACTTGTCTTGGCCCATATTGACGAGATACAATATTGTTTAGTGGTTTGTATTTAACACAGTCGACCTAAAACAAGCATGGGAAACTTTCCTGTGCCACATGTCAGAGGTGTACCCAGTGTGGCAACGGAGTAACTGTTAAGCCCGATGGAACTGGTACGCAGTAGCCAATTCTATCAGCCGGCGAACATGCAGACCAAACCTGTGGTACACGGTAACACCACCTACTTAAGAAAATGTAGTGGCCAGTCTATTAGACTATTAGGCCTACTCCTTGCCCTTACCGAAGACCTTAAACGCAAGTGCGACGACAGGCCGGTTTCAAAAATGATCGGGAATTGAATGACTTTGTAGTGGACAGCCACAATGGCTACGTCGCGCCTCTCGCTAGCGCCTGCACCCACGTCCTAGCGACAGCCTGCTGGGGCATGCACGTCTGCCCAGCTTCGATTTGTCTCGTTGCAATTCACTGTCTGCACCACGCATCTGGTCGATACTCTGCCTGCACCATGCGAGGCTTCTCACTACCCTCGCGTGGGCTTGGGACCAATCAACGCACCTAATATGGCTGATTGGTAAGACAGGCGGAAACAGTCCAGAGCACTAGCGTAAGCAATCTGTCACGACACGTTCGCAGCGGCGACCTTCGGCGACACACGGCTCGTCGCTATCGCGGACGCCGTCTCCGCGGTGCCGGACGCACCACCTCGTCCGGTTGCCGACTTTCCTTCACTATTCTGTACAGAATAAATAAAATATTCTCTCCAAATGGCGTCCTGCTTCTAACAACTTGGGATATGGCCTGAAGTTGTGGCGTACTGAGCGTACACCATCACCGCTTAGCCGCTACAACTTCCAAAATCTAGAAGACACCTCCTCAGAAGACGCGGTTTACTACAAAGTGAATGAAGGACAGCACTGCATAGGAGGTAAACTTGCAATCGCAAGAACAGTGTTGTTATTAGCATGGGCCTTGCGACTTTGCACAGGAGCCAATCGTCGGAGAGCACGAAAGTAGGAGAACAATTGGACGGTCTCCATAGGCAAACAGTAAGGGAGGGATGAGCGGGGTGGGATAGGCCCCCCGCGGCGAGGGTTGGTCCTGCTTACCCACCTGACCGACACCATACTGTTAACTAAGTAAAACAATTTTAGTTGGTGCGATTACGCTGACTTTACATGCATCACTTGTTGGCGGCTTCCTTGCTAAATTGATGCAGCACGTGGCTTGGCCTGGGGGGGGGAGGGCTCATATGCCATCCTCTCGCTTCGATCCCCGCCTGCGCTCTCTTTATTATCTCTGTCCGGGCGAGTCCAGTCACTGTTCAGACAGCGGTGACCTTCGCCGGTTGCGGTCGCAGTTGTGGCCTTCCAGGTGTGATTGCACCCACCTTATCCTCTTCATCCAACGACCGGCCGTGTCGCGAGGAGTGTGTGTACCCGTTACCGTCGGTTACACCAGGCATCGATTTACATGAGCTTCCCTGTGCGTGCTACGAGCTCTGCTTGCGCTCTCTTCCCCTTCCTAATCCGGCGAGTGTCTGAGTTACAGTGAGTAACCGATCTCATGAAATATTGGCTGAAATTCTGAAATGCGTTTTCGATTAGGAAAGATTACTTGGTCGCGGTTGTAATACCGATTGTCTTACGACATAATCTTATAACATCTCGGACTTGGCAGGATGTCAGCTTTTGAATACATTGCTTTTTTATCTCCTGTATAAACGGTACTCGGAAGAAAATGACTACTTAAGTAGCATGCACTTTTCTTATTGATTTTCGATGGTCTTGCAAATTCAAATATATCTTATAGAGACCACGAACAAAAATATGCTTTCTTTCAGTCAATTAATAGAGAATTACTTTTTCTTTATATCCTATACTCAAAGAAGTAGAATAATTAGGTTTTAAAAAGTTTCTTATCATGAGATTTCTTAAGACCCCGCATTGTCCATTCACATAGCATCATACCTCGCCGTTTACCACAGCTCCTCATGAAATGTACAACATAGTCCGCATTCATTGAAAAATTTTGTGGTCTCTGTATGGTATCTTTTTAATGTCATAGAAAAATATGTGATTTTCTTTACACGGAACGCATACACCTTGTAAACTGAAATCACTAAGCGCTAACGCAACGAATGATCAAGCTCCAAATTATTTGGCAATTAGAAAACTTTTTAAAAACCTAATTATGCTCCTCCTACTTCGCGTATAAAATAAAAAAGAAGACGTGATTCTCTATTAATTGACTGACCGGCTGACCGGCGGCCACTCGACCGACTTCAACTCGGACGCACATGCGTCCACGGAGTCGCAGTTGCCCATGCGTCACTTTAATGCACCACACCCTTGTAACCGGCAACATAAGCCACTTAAACATTTCTCCTCAGCGAATGCAAGACACATCGTTTGGGAACCATGCAAGCTTAGATGACGAGCCTATAAAACCGTTGCCACCACTGCCTCACGGACTAACCGCAGTCAACACCAGCCCTGCTCTAGGATAAAGCCATTCTGTTTACGCCTTCAGTATTATACTACTAGTAGGACCTACGTTCAGTGGTTATTATCGTCAAATTGTGTAGGTTTTTTTACTTTCACAGACAGTTTACAGAAGGAGGTTTGCTTTTCCGCGGAGCTTGGAAGGATGAAGAAATCGTAACTGGGTTGTAAAGGCAATGCGGGCGTAGTCACTGGAAAATGTTGATTATGTGCAGCAATACATACAAAAAGAGTAACGCGTTTTAGGCATACGTCGAGTTCAGGGGAGATGGGACCGTTGACCATGCTGTGCTGCTGCTTTCCCGTGCTAAAGCCATCTTCGGCTGAGTTCTGTCTGGTCTTCGCACTGGATAACGCTCAAGCAGTTGCTTATCGTGTCTGCGTTTAAAGAAGACTTCAAGGGGTGCGAATACTGCGCTATCAGCGTTCGCAGACGGCAGTGGATTGTAGGCGTTTTGGTATGGTTTTTCGAACTGCAGACCTAGCCGAGTCATCACCAGACCCAACCAGACGTCATCTAGTGGCAGGACAGTGATGAAGTGCATCGCTATCGCAATTTCCTCCAGAGATGTGTAGTCGAGGATATAGAAGGCTCCGTTGCAGTGTGGAGGCAGTTCCGGACTGGGCATTTCCCGCTTCGATAGGGCCCACTTCTTGTACTCACCGCCGGCACTAGGCCGTATCGTGGGGTTATGCATCCTGTTATTGCCTATTAAGAGGCGTTTGGGTGGTTCCGTAGACTCAACACTCCGCAGGAGGTTGACTAGATTGGCCACGTTGAAGGAGAAGTCGTCGTCCAGAAAGATGAACAGGGGTGAAGCACGGTGATTGACCGTCGGCCGACAGAAACGAGCTGCCCAAACGAAGGTGTAATGCATCTTGAGGGTGAGATTGTAATAGGTGTCTTCATAGTCCCCAACCAAGAGATCGTCGTGTATTTCCGTCTCCTTCCTCAGCGCAAGCATGATGTCCGCGTAGCGAGGTCCCACGTTGAGGAGGGATTGTCCCGCCCTACCAGGCAGAGTGATGTTGAAGCCGTCACGTTCGAAGAAGTTGTTCTTCGCCCGTCTTGGCAACCCGACGGAGAATACCAGCGCCAGCTGCTTGCCCAGAACACGACCCTCTTGTGCCATGTCTTTGAACAGGACCCGAATTTGACGTCGGCTCTGAAAATTGTAGACGCCGGACTTGACGATCACGATGAAGTCCTGGTTCGGAGTGTGTGTTTTTCTGTGCTCAACTCCTGGACATATTGCGGAAGCGACATTTAGGAAGCGGATTGAATAGTTGTTGATTGGTGCCTGTAATTGTGAAAGGTAGAAATAAGAGGACTGTTCAATCAACGTTAATTGGGTTTCACTCCTTTCAGCGACTTTATATTTCCGCGTATTTTCTCAAAACGGGAAGTTATCAACTGTAATCGGTTTCAGCTGCATGTATCAACTATTCAGTTCACTTTTATTAAATGAAACGTAGGCGTACACCTTTGAACCCCCTAATGATTACAATACCGTAGTTAATAGACACCAGTACATAAAGAAATTAGAAAGATTAGCTGAATAAGTACACGCAACAAGCATGTAATACTTGTAAGTATGTGTTAATATAGATTGTAAGGGTGTCATTTGTGGATCAACGTGCAGGTCGTAGCAGGTCGCTCAATTGCTTACAGGTATGACGACGCGTAGCACGCATTAACTGGTTCTGTCTAGTTATCACAACCCCGGTTACCGTCTCGACCTTCGGGCTAAACCGGGGAGTGTATCCGTACATGCATCTCCAAGTCTGCTCCCCTCCATCCTCCTCACCCTTCTCCCCCCGTCTTCTCCGCATCCATTTCCCCCATTTCTACTCTCGCTCTCCTCCACCCTTCGTCCCTTTCTCTTCCATTCTCCTCCCTCCCCTTCTCCAATCTTCCCCCTCTCTCCCCTTCCACCTTCTTCCCCCTCCTCCGCCCGGTGTATTTGATAAATAACAACAAACAACATATTGATGGCATTTACAGTCAATATTCCAACCGTTCTAAAGTTAATTCATACAAAATTAGCTACTGAAACCCCCATAGTAGCATGTTTACAGTTAAACGATGTTGTATAAGCCAGTGTATTGGGAGTTCTGGCTGACATTTAGCAGAGGATTTAGGGGTGTCCAGCGGTGGGTTCACGTTAAGGTCGCAGTAGGTAGCTCCTTGGCTTGCAGGTATGACCACACCTAGCGTCCATTACTTAGTACCCAACTCATATCTGTAGCTCACCGAAGCTAGGCTCTGCCTAACGGCCAGACTTCGGTAACCGCCTCGATTGCGAGCCAAACCAGGGAAGGGTATCTGTGCGTCCATCTGCCCACACGGGAATTCTGCTCCCCTCCATCCTCCTCTTCTCTACTCTTTCTCTCTCTCCCTCCCCTCCGCTCTACTCCCTTCTCCCTCCGCATTCTCCTCCCTCCTTTTCCAGCATTCTCCCCCTTCCCTTCCTCACCCCTCCTTCTCTACTGTCCTCCTTCACCGTCGAAAGTTCCACGGGGAGGGTGAAATGCAATCACGTAGGTGGCTCAGATCAATGGTTGTCTTCTCTCCAAACCCTATGACCCATGGTGGAGAGCGGTACCCGTCTGATGCGACAAGGCAGCCCTATTTAGGGAGGGCACAGGTTTCTCCCACGAGACGTGGGCTATAAGATGTGCCCTAAACAAATTCTGGGTTCACGGTATCTGCACACTGACCGTGGCCTCAGACTCAAAACTCACGCTCGAAACAATCAAATCCGAAACAACGCACTCTCTTTAAAAGAAGGCGAAGGCACGATCACTGGGACAGTAGGTTTATTTGCCTGAGCTTTCGAACTCGAACTAGAGTTCATCATCAGAGGTTACTCGAGTGCAGCAAATTGTGAACATTTATATCGTTCATCCTTGCGGGGGGGAGGGGGAGTGCGTCCGTGGCTAGGTAGGGTTTGTGCCGCCTGATCCACGATGTTCCCCCGGCGTGGTGACGCCATTTGCACTTCGCGACGGTGTGAGCTGCGCCACCTGGCTGCGTGGGCGGAGCGCGTGATAACACGCAGGCAAATCGATGTGTCTGTTGATGGAGTTGGTGTCCGACACCCACGCCTCCAACAGCTCTCGCCCTGTCTTGTTGCCGGCTCGCGCCAATATCCGCGTGTTGGCGAAGTCGAACTCATGCCCTTCCTCGAGCGTGTGAGTGGCTACTTGAGACAGTGGGTCGCCTCTCCGAACGGCCCGTTTGTGCTCAAGTATTCGTGAGCTCAGACGTCGTCCTGTCTGGCCTGTGTAGTGGCAAGGACAGTTTTGGCACGAGATCCGATAGACTACGCCCGACTGTTCACCTGCGTCCAGCCGATCCTTCATTTTCATGATCTTGCTACGCATGGTGGCCGCCGGATGATGAGCGATGCCCACGCCTAGCTCTGACGCAATGCGTTCTGTAGCCTCGGACACATTCTTTATGTACGGTAGGGAGTGCCAAATTGTTGGTATCTCTCTTCCGTTTGTCCGGCGTGGGTGTGCGCGTATGCAGCGACTGATAAAACTATTTGGGTAGCCGTTCTTTGTTAATTGGTCCTGGAGATGCCGTAGTTCTTGCATCCTTCCTTCGGGCTCGCTACAGTGCGTTTTTACCCGGTCGAAAGTCGCCCTCACACAGCCCCGTTTGTGCACCAATGGATGGTTGCTATGATGGTTGAGGACCTGGGTTGTATTGGTCGCCTTTCTGTACACTGTAGTGCTGAGTTCACTGTCAGGTGCGCGCGTGATGAGCACGTCCAGGAAGGGTAGTTTTTCGTCCTCCTCGTCTTCTCTTGTAAACTGAATGTCGGGGAATATGCTGTTAAGTAGGTCTTGGAAACCCGATAGGTTGTCCTTTTCAATAATGAACAATGTATCGTCCACGTATCGGCGCCAAAACGCCGACCTCTAGTTCGAGTTCGAAAGCTCAGGCAAATAAACTTACTGTCCCAGTGATCGCGCCTTCGCCTTCTTTTAAACAAGAGCCTGGGATGCGTATATTCTCTTCCATTCGTGAACACACTCTCTGTCTCTCTTCCCCCTCCTCTTCGCCCTCGTCAGACTGGTAGGGTGAGTCCGCTCACACTGACAGTCTGGAATGGCTCTGCTGAACAGGCACAAAATCAAGTTCCGTTTCTCTGAAATGGAGCGAAACTGAGGGGGTGCATATACTGTCCTTTCCAGGTGAGTTTTCGATAGATGGATCTCTGAATGGAACCATCTGCCAGCCCACGTACAAAACTATCTAGAAAAGGCAGTGTTTCGTTGTTCTCATGCTTGATCGTAAATTCGATCTTTGTATCTACTTTTTTCACAACCTTAAGTAATATTTCTCTGGGCCGTAGACTTTTTGGCTATGGCGAAATTTTCATCCACATATCGCCTATAGAATGAGGTTCGTTGAATGGTTCGGGCTGATTTTCGCTCGAAGTTCGATATCAAAATGTCTGATAGGACTGGCCCCAATGGACTTACCCATGGCTTTACAGTTGATTCGTTGATACAACTGTCCGTTTAACAAGAATTGCATATTTGTAGTAGTTTCCGCAGTTGAACTGATGGTAAACGTGTCTCACCCTCATGCTCACAAATTATGTCAATTATTTCATCCAGTGGCACGTTTGTAAACAGGCTCTGCACGTCAAGCGAGATCATGTGCTTGTTCATCAAATGCTGCTTCTGCAGCTCCTCTACGATGGAGAAAGTGTCTTTGGTAGTGTAGACGGCAAGGTTGCGCCTGATTGGTTCGATTTGTTGGACAATGGTCAAACACTGATTGGGCAGTTTACCTAATCTTATAAATATGCAATGACCGTGTGCCGCCAAATAGGAGGTCGCGACACTTTATGACGTCATTAGATTCTGCATGTTTCGTCGTCTTTGCCTTGTTCAAATCGACTCTGGGAAAAGAGTGTTTTAATTACAGGGGCATCTTGCTACTCGAAATCGACGGGAAGATCATCGGCATCCTCCTCAATCGCCTCAACATCCACCTAGAGCAAGGACCTCTTCCGCAGAGCCAGTATGGATTCCGGCAACACCACGAAACCACTGACCTGATCTTTGCCTCCCGTCAACTTCAAGAGAAGTGCCAGGAGTTACGGACTCGCCTCTACACCACATTCGTAGATCTAACGAAATCCTTGGACACAGTCAATCGCAAACGGCTGTGGAGAATCATGCCGAAGTTCGGCTGACCCGAGCGATTCACGCATATGATACATCAGCTCCAAAATGAGGTGATGGCGCACGTTACGGACAACAGCGCCATCTCCGAGGCATTCATGGTTACTGAACTCGCGTCCGCACTCTTAAATCTCTAGTTGTCTGCAATGCTGGTGGACGCCTACCGTGATAGGCGTCTCCTTGGATCCGCATTGATTTCAGGACCGACGGTCACCGACACAGCAGCCAGCCAAAATAGACCTCAACGAGACTCTCCACGACCTGCTCTTCGCAGACGACTTTGCATTCAACAGCACGACCGAAGAAGATATGCAACGGAGCATGGACGTCCTGGCCGCCCGTTGCTTCCACTTCGAAATGACCATCAGTAGGGACAAGATGGTAATCATTCATCAACAGTCATCGGCCGCCGAATACACTGTCTCTCGCATCCGCGTCAACGGAACTGAAGTGAGCCCGTGGATAGCTTCAACTACCTAGACAACGCAGTGTCACATTGGATAAGAATTGAGGACGAAGCCGCCCACCGGGCCTCAAAAAGCAGCCAAGCCTTCGGCCGGCTGCAGAACTCCGTGTGGAATCAGCATGGCCTTCAAATGAAGGTGAGATGTGATTTAGCAGCTCCACCTGATGGAGGGTTAGCGGTTGGGGTTTAGGACAAGCGGTTATAGTTAGGGGTTAGGGTTAGGAGTTATCACAACTATTTCTCAACCACTGAAAATACAATCACGCACTCCCAATAGCTTTTCTTTTGCATACAACTACTTGACCTCGTCGCCTGTGCGTTTCCCGACTTCACCTGTAAAAACCCCTATTACCATCGGTCCCGTATTGAAGGTGACTGGGGTTTGGCTAGATCGCAGTTGGTAGCCAGGAATGGGGAAGCGGACGGCTACCTTAACCCTAATCCTAACCTTTGTTTACTGGGGCTATTTTGTGAGGCTCCATAATCGCATCTGACCCACTTTGCTTCCGTTTTACGTTTGAGGTTAGGATTAGGGTACCGGTTAATGGTTTCCGATTTTCGGGTTAGAGTTATGCCTTTAGGCTTAGGTTTTCGGGTTACGGTTGGGGTTTGAGCGTACGATTAGGTTTCACTATTATGGTTAGGTTTTTTGAGTTACGGCTAGGCCTAAGGGCTACGGTTATATTTACGATTTGGGTTAGGGCTAGGGTTGCTGTTAGGGTTAACGGTTAACGTCCAAGGTTGAGGTTAGGGATAGGGTTAGAGTTAAGGTTAGGATTAGGGTTAAGGTCGTCGTCCGCTTCCCCATTCCTGGCTACCAACTGCGATCTAGCCCAGTTCTCGACAGAGGGGGCACCTGGACCATCTACTCCAGACATGTCAAGAAGTTCAACCACTCCCATCTTAACTGCCTTTTTAGAATACTGAAGATGAGATGGCGAGACGGGTTTTTGACACGGAAGTTCTAGAATGGACCGGAGTCTTCAACATCCACCCCATGATGAGTCAACTGCAACTACGTTGGGACGACCATCTCGTAAGGATGGTAGATGTACGTCGCCATCGGTGCTTGCCGACGGGGATGCCACAAAACGACATTACGAGAACCCACTGAAGAATTCTCTTAAGCGATTGCATATCGACCCAGAGACTTGGAAGGACCTCGCCCAGAGCAGACCGGCCTGGAGAAGAGAAGCGAAGACTGGCGCTGCCATTTAAGAAGCAAATCGGGCCGCTGACGCCAAAGCCGAAGGGGAGGCTTGCAAATCGCAAGTGTCTCGGCTCCTCTATTCCAATTAGCCGCCGCCTCCAACATGCCCGTGCTGCTAACGCCCATTCCGGGCACAAATCGGTCTCTTTTGACACCTTCAGGCCCAGTGCGCCATCAACCCGACAACGTCCACCTCTTTAGCCACTCTTGCTCTCTGTGGCAAACCCCACGCCAATCGCCACTCCCGTCATCACCGATCACACTCCCACTGTCCCGCCACCAAAATCCACCGACACCATCTGCCCTGCTCCAACAGCTGCATCGAGGCAGCGGCTAGCATCATCACCGTCACGACATCACGAACTTTTCCAAATGGATAGGACGACGTCTAACGCCCCATCATCACCAAAACCCCCACCTCCAGCGATGTGGACACGGTTTATACCTGTCCTCATTGCAATCGCACATTTAATTTACACATCGGCGTTGTCAGTCACTTGCAAATCTATCGTGCGGAGGCTGGTTAACCAGTGTCTGGAGCACCAATCGACACTTACTTTCATCGTACATCCACTCACCGCACGGGCTTATAACGTTACATACGCATTCACAAAATCCTACAGTAGACAACCACCGCAATATTACACGAACACATCATCTCCCATCATAACCCGCACCAAGCAACATCATCCACCACGAGCATCCAAATGCCACCTTCCACGCAATTGGGCAGTGTGCGTGTCCCGGCTCCGTCTCCATGCGACTCCTCTGATGCATGTGTGATTTATGTCCGAGACTAACATGGTGCGCCAAGCGCCGTGGTTTAGAAGGCTGCCGACTGACGCCTCAACTCAGTCCACAGAGTCTGCCCAGTTGTGTGCGTGTTTGTGTGGTGTGCCGGACTGGTGGGCTAAGAGTTAGGCTGTCATAACTCCTTCTTAACATGACCGCTGGCTCTCTCGCGCTCGTGGGGAACGTGTGTGTAGCGTAGTTTTTAGTGGGTAGTGGCTGTCAGTCAACGACTGACTGGTTACCCAGCCTTTGGAGGCTGATGGACCAGGCTAAATGCAGGGCTGCGTGCTACCCTACTGGGTCTGAAGGACTGTAAGCGTCCGCTAATACCATAATCAGCAAACCATGGCTTTTGCAGTCTGGTGTGCGCTGGCCGTCCTTCGGTACTTGGTTCCTTGGCGGTAGATGCGCTTGCACCTGCGCTCCCGCTGTGTATATAGGCTGACCAGTCATTTACGTTTTTCCGTTCTTGTTGGTCAAAATCCTAGTCAGTTGTCTGTTATAAACCAGAAGATGTGGAGAGGAGCGTCCAGGTGCGAGTTCGGTCGCGCTATCCACCCCCAAAAACCCCAATTCCGGTTTTCTTGACTCTGTTTCGACACCCAGCCCAGGCGAGGGAGGAGGAGGAGGAGAGAGTGGGTTAGACACAGCGCAAGTCACCATGCCTGCCTAACCTTGCTGTCGAGCATGCGGTGGAAATCGTCGTATGCTACAGTCAAACTTTCATGTTTTAATTTATTCATGCTTTGTCAAAATTGCAGTTTTCTTCGGTAATGAGTCCGAGTAAAAATCCGAGAGGACAGGCCAATAAACGTCTTGTTCCAGTGATGGCATCTTCTGTTTCTGGGCTTATACATCAGTCAGAATTTACCGGTCGCGTTACGGAACGCACTTGTCGCGCAATTCCTTGGATCTCTTTGTCGAACACCGCCAGTTTCTCAACCGACAGGACAACGAGCCCGTGGCTCAGTGATTAGGGCGTTGGATTCAACGATTAAAGATCCCGAGTTCGAATCCCGTTCAGCCCGAACCCCGCTTTGATGTGGCTGGTTTTGGCGTCCAATGAGCATTAAATGTCATTCTGGTCTCTCTTGTCTTTCTCTGAAGCGTTTTCTGCATTCGAAGTAGATATGTATATACTGAGCATTACTGCTTCCCTGGTTCATTGTCATGCATATTAATAAGCATTTGAAGTACAACTAAACATGATCCCTTTAATTAACCAAACCCCCCAACTTCTCATCCGGCATACTTACCTCTGGAAAGTATCCCGTCTTCTTCACAAAATCCACTACCAGACTCATGACAATGGCCTGCCCGTAGAGATTGAAGACTTGCTTCTCCACAGGTCGCTTCCAGTTCCCGTCGGGAATATTTACCAAATCCTCAAATGACAGGTGGCCGCCTGACATGTTGAGTTTGGTTACCAGTGCGGGCAGGATACCGTATTGACCGGGAATTTTGGGGATTTTATCTCGGGTGACACAGGTGAATATCTCGTATGGGCCACTCGGGAGATGCGTGACAGGAACGGTCCATTTGCAGGCAATATGAGCTGCTCGCTGTCCACTCCAGTCTGTGTATGCGTAGAAGTCGCAGCACAATTTCAGTGCAGTGACAGTGAGGAAAAGTACGAGGATTCTGTTCATTCGTGCGGGGGCAGCAGGAAGGAAGCGCACTTTTATGTATGCGGATGCCTTTAATATGCAACACAGAAGGTCGACGCCTTCCTCCGAACGAGTTCTGTCTACCAATCAGAGTTAACTCCTGACACAATAGCGGACGTAACCCATTCGTTGAGCTGCGGTGCGATCTGGCCGATTGAGTGAGACGAATTCTAAGTGGCTGCCCTCAATGCCAGGCCTTTATCTAGGGGTAACGTCCCTGGGTATAATGGCTCCGACATTGTGGTCAATCAAATGTCACCAGTCCGTGTTTTTAGTTTCCCTGCGAGGAGTGGTCGACAAAGGTTATTGGGAGGAAAGTCGACAGCTGCTTATGTGTCTCGTAGTTTATATATCCTCGTAGAAAAAGGACGCTTTTGTATGAAAACTGTCGTAGTCAATTATGACAGTAAGAAGATGAATTTACGAAATGCATGAGGGGGGATGACAGGAGATATTAAAGGCTTAATTTAGCTGCGGATACAATACTTATTATTTTTATCCAATCATCCAACTAACGAACGGATAAAAATTTTTCAATCCCAGGTGTCTGTTTGAGCAAGGAAGAACAAGACAGCTTGAACACCGGAATTATGTATTTATTTATCTAAACCTTCGATTTCGCGCATGAGTCCATCGACAGAGGAGCTGAAAGCCGCAGCACAGCAGGTGAGTGCTGTAGTGGATGATTTCCAATCAATGATCGGTGTTGCAGTGGTGGAGGTGGCTGAGTAGGACTCTGCATGTCGGCATCAGATCGATATATCGTTCGATTGAGTTCTTATCCAAAACCAAGATTTAAATCAATTCTCAGCTTTTTTCGTTTCCAGTGTGGGAAATTATCCTGATAGTTACGAAGTTGAACTCGTGACCCCTGTCAAAGGTGCGGACAGTAATTTGCGATAATTCGCCACTCTGTCCTTCAGCCGGTTTTTGTTCCTCTAAGCTCGATCCGAGCATACGTTTAGGCTGGGCTGTGTAATTAGAATGACATTTAAGGCAGGGGATAATTTACACTTCGCCAGACTGCTTCTCCAGACTTATTCGGTCTTTGATGTGCAAGGTTATGTTACTCACGGTAGTTTTTTGGCCGATGGGCAATTACAAGACTTAGACGTGCAGCGATGAGCTCAGTCATCTCTGAAACCTCCTTCATGTGTGTGCAGAGCACGCCATGTCGTCGATGGTCTTTCCGGAGGATCCTCTGGAGGCGAACACGTAGGCGTCGGTTTGCAAACGCCTTGGAATAGCCATTCCGCATAAATTGTTCATGTGGTTATCGGGCCTCTGGTTGCTGCAGCGAATCTGTAATTGCATGAAGAGTGTTCCTACACAGTTTCGAATTTGGGGCACTGGATCGGTTGCCTTCCTTTAAGCCGCCGTTCGAACGTCTCTTGGCTGCCTGGTACGTAATTACTGATCAACGACACTTGGGAATCCATCTCCAAGCCAAATCACCGCATTTCTCACTAGTAATAAATCTAATGCGTTTATATTCATCACGACGCGCTAAAAATCTCGACTTTGAGGATTGAGAACTGTCCATTTATTTCAGCAATAATGGACACAGCGATATATTTGAGCAAATACCGATGCTAGTACCTGTAGACTTCTTTTGCGTATCTGAACATGATTGTTTTCGAGAGGAGGGTAGTTTACCCCGGAGACTTTTGCTAAACAGGACTTGCCGGGCTTTCAATTTGATTTTTTGTCTGATGCCAACTGTGGAAATTTGTTTGCAAACTCGACGACTATTTTTAGCTAACCAGACGTTTTATCGACTTTTACAAGTTAGATTAACAAATTTGTGCGGTTTCTGCCCTAGAGTGCAGTAGTAACGCACACAGACAATTTTTTGTTTAAATCGTCCGAAATGGCCATGCCACATAGATTGACACTGAAATGGCTATCAAGGAATTGTCGTTTTCAGAGATGAGCACATAAATAATCACTTTCCGTGCGCTCTAGAAATGGAACGAGCAAATGATTAGCAGTTTCAACAAAACATCGGTATTTATACGGCCATTCAAACGTGGATTCATACGCGTAGAACAGAGCCCAAAAGTAAGCAATGATGGCGAAAATGGTCGCAATATAAAAAGAAAGGCATGTTCTGTCGTTTGCAGTGAAAAAATATCAGTAATTTTCAGGAACTTGACTAAAACTACTATCTAATAGGAAAGGAATGCCCAAAACTCACTTAATCGGTACATTCATTCAAAGATAACCTTCTTTTGAAAGTTTACAGGAACGCACAATATGAAATGTGTCTTTGTTGGCAATCGATTGAAAACACTGAAAGTAAATATGGTATTTTGGCGATTGTATCTTCAAAATCTATCTAATTTACTATTAACTGACCGGCCTGGCAGCATGTGGCTTTTTGAAAACACTTATTACCCTGACGACCCAGCTGGCGAAATCTAGTAAAATCCTGTTTGCTTTATTAAACCGCATCTAAGCCGATATAAGAGCGTATAAAATACAGCCAATTCTCAGAAACCCATCGTGTAATCGACACTTAGGATGTAAGCTGTTGGCAAACCACCATGCCTGACACAGCACTAATTCTTAAAAGATATTTCAATGTAAACTTCAGGAAGCGCTATCTTTAAACTTTATTCTATTTTTACTGTCATATTTACTATGGTTTTTGGTTGGCCGGACTCCTGTGCGTCTAAAGCCGAGGTTTACTAAATCACAGCCATTTTTGACGTCTTCTGATTTTTTCGCTACTCTAAAAAAATTTTATGTTCAAACAATTTTCATCTCACCCAAAATCGATTTTTATTAATGTAGATATTAGACCTGTGCTTTGGTGTCGGTTTGTAAATGATCGGCAATCATTCGTAAGTTTTGATACTACTGTGGAAGACTACTCTGGACGCGGATGGCTGAGCACGAAGCAGCAGTGAGGAAGAACGACGCCATCTTCCAAGTCGCGGCACATTTAACTGCACCCTACCACATATTCAAGTTTGACCAAGCAGAATTTTTCGCTAGAAGCGACAACCGCGCGATAACAAGCACAATGAACTCCCCGCTCCATATTAAGTGCTGCGACTTAACTTAGGCAAAATAGTTAAACACGAGGAGAGCGTGCAGACAGCCCTACATCCCGCCTAATTCACTAAAATCTAATTCGCGTGCAAGTCATCGTCTTGCAATTATCCCTGCAGTCAGGTCCTGGGTAAGAGACTTTCGGGGCTTGCTCTTGAGTTACCTTCGCGTTCGGCGTTATCGCAATGTTGCATCAAATGGGACTGCGTATACAACGGTCTTTTCACTCTAATGTTATTGACTTTCGGAGATCGCAGGAAGATGGAAGACTGGATGTTGGATAACTTGCGTTTTCCGCCCTCGCCGCCGTTTCGATGCGCATCTATGCGTCCGATGGTTATCGCAGACTTGGCCCGTACATTTAATTAAACAGAGAGGTAACATGGAAGGGCAAGTGTATGATCAGGGGAAAGGGGTTTTGGCCTTGTGGCCCAGTTATGTAACACGACGCCAAGTCCGTCTGGGATTGAATTTCTATCGCTACATGCCATGTCATTCTAAAGAAGAAAAGGTGGCGAGCCAGCGTCGCTTGCGTTAACTTCTCGCCAGGCCACTACAATTATATTGCAACGGGGTACAGTGAGTAAAAAAATCGATAAAAATCTATCGGAAGAAAACCTGGTCTAGACAATACACGAACTCCGCTAGTTTCGTACCTCTCCAACAGAAACGAAATCTAGTCAGGTGATTGGCACAAAGGGCAAGAAAAATTTATTCAACAGATAGTATCGAGAAGGAACTTAGAAAAATCCAGGACTTGCTTCGAGAAAGCGGATATCCTGACAGGTTCATTGCAAAGAACCTTGCCGAACGACCTGCTGGAAAGAAGACGTTGTTTCTCAAAATCCCTTTCCAAGGAGACGCAGAAAGTGAACTCATCAGAAAACGTCTTGGCCAAGCTGTCTCGGGAACCTTCCCAACAGCAGGGGTTCGCTTATCGTTCTCTAATAACCCGATTTTATGCGAAGAAGGCAAGGATAGGCTGCCACCTCAGACCGCCTCAATGTGCATCTACTCATATGCATGCTGCTGTTGAGCAGGTTATGTTGGTCGTACGAGTCAGCGCCTTTCCAAAAGAATACGAGAGCACCTTCCCGCATGGCTGGCAAAAGGCGGAACTAGTAAAATAGACAGCGCCATCCATGCGCATGCAGTGGATTCAGGGCATCGTGTGGACCCCGCTAGAGCATTCATAAGGTCTACTCGAGCTATCCTAAACTACTGGGCCAGCGCCTGTTGGCAACAGCAGAAGCGGCCGCCTTTGGGTTATGAAAACCGACCCTATGCGCCCAGAAGAACCTCGTTCAGGCTCCGCGCTTACCGTGTTCAAAGGTTGACTAGTCACATACAACTTTCTATGCCCTTCCGCTTTTACCTAGCTTGTTTTTAAAAAAACTAACTTTTATCGATTTTTTCTTACTTACTGTACCCCGTCCCATTTAACAGTACTGGCCTGATGAGAAGTTATCGAAAGCAACGTTCGCTCGCCAATTTTTCTTCTGAATATAGCAATGTGGATTTTGATAACTCATCCTTAAGAGTCAAGCACTACCCGGAAATATTACTGCATATGTCATGGTTGACTGGCATGACGTGAATCTGGGTTGTAATTTAGGGCTTTCAGTCGTAGTAATCAACTGGACTTGGACTCAGCACTTTCCGGTGCAAATTCAACTGACGGAAGAGGA